TGATTAGTACAGAGTTCACATCAGATTTTTGTTTGTCTGTTTCTGTTTCTCGTCATCTGTGTATGCTCGTGTGAAGTATTTATAATAAAACACGAGTTCATCATCATCGCATACATATCACTGCTTTGAATTTTTTCGAGAAAGAAAAGAAATAAACCAAATACACATGTGCAGAAGATGAATAAAATTCTATGAGATCGTCGTTGATAGGAGAAGTGATGATGATGATCAAAACAACAGATAACAACAATACGGATTTTTTTTTTTGTATAAGTAAACAAAAACAAAAACAAAACGACAACACATTGACCTAAAGAAAGAATTCTCTTTTATCGATCCATTGAAACTCACTGTTCCGTCGGAAGCACTTGCACCAACACGAGTACCTCGATAACTATAAACAATTTGTCCTCGCCGAAAAATAAACAGCCATCATAACATCATAAATATCAAATATGATTTGAAATTATTTACTGCAATATCCCAAATATAAATCGCTTTATCAAATGAACCAGTTGCTAATAAACGACCATCTGGATTGAAAGCAACATAATAAACAGGTTCTGAATATTGTACAAGTATATTTTAACAAACACCACGTTGAGCATTCCGTAAACGTACAGTTAAATCAAATGATGCACTATATATACATAAAATTTAAAGATAAAAAAAAAAGAAGTTTTCGTTAAATAATACCTTGCTAAAAATAATGTTACATTTGGATTCATTGTTCCTGGACCAATTGGACTCCATTTAATTGTATAAATTTCTATATTATGTGCTTGTAAATTATGAATAGGTGTGGCTTTTGACATACTCCAGATCTAAATAAAAATAGAAAATACAGTTGAGTATGATTACTTTCATTGCGATTTACTTTTAATGTCATATCATTAGAACATTATGCAAGTAAACGTCCTTGTGGGTCCCATTTAATAGCATTAACTTCATTTTGATGTCCGTGGAATGTTTTAATAGCTCGTAATTCACCTAGTCGACAAACATGAATTTTTTGATCTGTTGAACATGACACAAATGTTGTTGACAATGATCATAATTTGCATCCCAAATGATCATTGTACGATCAACACCAGCCTATAGAATACAATTTTATTTTATATCACTGCATGATATATACTTATAGCCAAAAGATGAGGTCAAAATCTTGTAAAGAGTTCGGTCACATCCCCTCATCAGTTAATAAGAGTAAAATATTGTTTTGAAAAAGTGTAACGAATTATCTTTGAAAATATCTACGATGAGGCACGTTTGCTATTAGTTTTCATATAGGGCCGATTTTGCTAACAATCCAGCCCCACTCTTAAAATATGAAATCAATTGAATGATTTACCCGAAGAACGTTTTATGATTATTTTTTTTAAATTGGCTAACATGGAAGGACTTTATTCTTTAGTAGATGTCCATAGACGATTAAATAGAATTGCATAGGGTTTATATTTTTACAAATAATTTGACCCTGTTGATATCTACATCGCATGGTTTTTGTATATTCATTGCCTGATCCTATACTTGATCGATTTTGTTCACATATTTCATCTAAAATTCATCAAAAAATCAAATGACTTGACCTCGAATCACTGGGTCTTTTCACTGGTAAGATATGTTACTTTGATTCTTTCAATTATAGAAACATTAAGACTATAAGCGAAGAAAATTCATGATTACAGACTTTTAAATTTCACATCATTTTGTATTTGATTTGTATTTATTAGTATAAAGATAAAAAGTTGTCACCAAATAGATCATTTCCCACGAAACATAAGTATTTATATAAAACGAAATAAAAGTAAAATGCGTCTTTAAAACAAATAGATTATAAGGATTAATGACTGATATAATATAACATTTATCATGCTATATAATCAATTAAATAAGACGAAAGAGGAAAATCACACATGTAAACTACAACATTATTGAAAAATGAATAAAGGGTAGATGTTTAGATTTGAGTAATTATATAAAATCTAATAAAAGTTTTTTTACTCAGTTTTTAATGATTTCATTGTTTACATGAAACGTTTTTCATTACGTACATTGAAAAATAAAATTTTAGAACTTGTTATCGACATTAGCACAAACAAAATACAAAGTTTACCAGCAGATAATAATACAATTATATTTACACATATCTTTACTACCTTCACTAATTTACAATATTTAAACTTTGGTTCATCTTTATTCTATCATCAACGATTATCATTTTTCACTTTACCTTGAACTATTATCTCTACAAATCTGTTAAAATTACATGAGGGTGTGGGTGTGGGTGTGGGTGCAGGCATAGGCGAGCCAGCGTCTCATATGGAGGCGTGGCAATAAATAATAATACCGATTTTTTAAAACAAAGCCATGTTTTGGGTACGGCATATGTATATAAAAAGATAGACATATCCAGGGGTATCGCGAGCAACCAAAACTGGGGGCTGGGTAACTTATGAAATTCAACTTTTCAAAAATTTTGATGCAGAGTAACCAGTGTTGCCAGATCTTCCTAGTTGTGAAAGTTTTTTGGCATTTTGTCTACACTTTTTCTTCATTTATTCGGTTTTTTCTAGACTTTTTTGGGGATTTTTCACATTTTTCTGCATGTTTTTAAAAGTTTCGGAATTTATCCTGACTTTTTCAGAGCTTTTCAGCATTTTTGCAGGGTTTTCCTGGAATATCTCTGATGCTTTGGAGACTTTTTTTGCGATTTTTTTTTACTTTTTCTGAGGTTTTTTTCGAATTTTTTCCGGATTTTTGAGTTTGACTTTTCGCAACACTAGGGCTAATTTATAAAATTGTGCTTAAGGCACTATGCATACCATTTTGTGAAATGTAATGCAAGACAATTTTCGAATATTTGGATCGGCTCACCGCCGTCTCATCTCCCGGCTGTCGCGACACCCTTGGATGTATCCACTAATAATTTTTCAAGTGCAACAATCATTTTTTCAAGTGTGGCAATTGCCACCAATTGCCCTCTGGTGGTCCGCCGATGGGTGCAGGTGCGGCATGAGTATACGTATGGTTGCTTAAGGCTTTTCGACACCCACACCCACACCCTGATGTTGGTACTTGCCAGATTCTACCAGAATCAATTATGAATCAGTCTTTTTTGTGAACTTACTTTTTCATCGCGCTCATTGGATAGTAACGCGAAGCACAACAAATTGGACTTCTAAGGTATAAATTCGAGCAGCGTTTTTCAACAATAAGAATTTTATTGTTTTAGTCGTGTATTTGATACTCGTGAAGCAGTACTTATCGGTGCAGCTATAAATTTAGCAAGTGTCTTTGCAAAGAAGAGTCCTGTATCTACACTCGGTTCAAAAATACAAGTAAATTATGCTCGTGATCATTCATCGGATGATAATTTTAATTTTGTGCTATGTCAATAGTTTAGAATTTTTATATAGAGTACATGGAATAATGGTATGATGTTAACTGAAGATATTATAAAAAGTGTTATGATCTCATCGGTATCAAGTGAAAAAAAGTAACAAAAATGTACCAAGTGAAATCGAATGTGAAGATATTTAAAAATTCATAATCGCTTGTTTTTCATGCGCAAAATTTTGCTGAAATTTTTAGATGACGTTGGATAGCTGGCTTTAAACTATTTCGATAATCTTTATCGTGATCAAATTTTGTTTTTTCAGCTAATCGTTCTTGTAATAAACGACTTTCTGCGTCAAGATGTGCCTTTGTACGTGTAATAAAATCATGTCGATTAGCAAGATGATATTGATTATCGATTGTTAGTGCTAACTGTCGACGATTGGGTTCATAAGTTTTTTCTTTAATTTCTGAAACTAATTCTTGAAGACTCGGCGACGACGACTCAGTATGAAAACTGTCAACGGAAGAATTTCGTCGTCGTAAAGTTTGATCGTGATCTTTTGTATTGAAACTTGTGTATTCATTGACTGGTTGACATGGATATAATTGACAATTCTTTGAAAACAGTCGACATTGAGTTCCAACAGGCGGTAATTTGATGGGTGACGATGAGTGATTTTTTAGATTTTCTAAGGAAATAAAAACAATTAAACAAAAATATCTCTTAGCTCTAAATCTTACTGTTCGTGTATTGTTCTGCAGGATTGATTTTCGGAAGTTTTTGAATATTTTTCTGTTCGATTTGTTTCGTATTTGTCGATAGTGTATGACGTTTTCGATCATTTGAAATATGTTCAATAGTTATATCGAGTACATCTTTTCGTTGTTTTTCAAGTTTCATCATTGCTTTTAAACGTAAACGAGTTTGTTCGTACTGATCAACTAAATTATTTAAATTTTGACATAATTTTTCATCATGTTTTTTATTTAAATATATTTGGTGGTGACGTATTCGACGAGAGACTCGCTCGATATGATTTAATTGCTTGATTGATTTATTCATAGATGTTTTAATGTCATCGTTTTTCGTCTTTTAATTTTGTTTAAATACCGTTAATGTACTTTGAAGAAATGAAGAGGAAAAGAACGCAATGAAAGATTTATTTGATCATTATATTTGCATTTTTAAAACGATGACTACAAAAGACATTTTACGTTGAATTTGATTGTGGGAATGAAATAAGAATCTGAATAAATGCGATAATTACACGATGTATGTTTGTACGCAAAAATAAAATGCAAAATGTTAATCAATGAAAATTTTAATATTTTTTGTCGCACATAAAATTAAAATAGAAACAAACGCGAAAATGTTTTTTTTTTACAGTATTTTTATGTCGCGTTTCTCTCTCTCTCTTTCTCTAGATGGTAGTGTGTTTTCAATATAATCGTTTGTTTTTTTTAAATCCATTTTGACAAACGTACTTCCTTCCTGTAAATGGTATTCTCGGACACCGGTAGTCATTTGTTATCGTGCACAATCGAAAGCATTAATAAATCAAAAGATCGACAGGTCAGAATATCAAACTTTATTAAAACCCAGTTTATTGAAATTAATTGAATTATGTGTAGCTGATGGTGCTGTACGTGATATTCTAATGGTAATTAATCCGCATGATGTGGATTTTGCTGCAACAGCTACACCTGAGCAAATCAAACATATGTTAAGCGAACCAAATATACGAATGATTAATGCGAATGGAGAACAACATGGAACGATTACTACTCGTATTGATGATAAAGATAATTTTGAGATAACAACGTTACGAGTCGATGTTTCTACTGACAGACGGCATGTTGCAGTAGAATATACTCAAGATTGACAGTTGGACGCTAGTCGAAGAGATCTTACCATCAACGCTCTATTTCTTGGTTAGTTTTTTCGAATGAACTTCAGAAAAATAGCATAGACCCGACATCTTATGTTTTATATTTCGAAGGAATTATATATGATTATTTCAATGGAATTGATGGTCTTGAACGTCGTCGTATTCGTTTTGTGGGCGATCCTGTTGAACGTATTCGTGAAGATTATCTTCGTATTCGTAGATATTTTCGGTAAGCGCCTGTCTTTGTAGATTTTTTATTTATTTTTGAAAAGATTTGTCGACCGTTTTGCCAATGATAATGCTACACTACACACGATGACGAAACATTGAGAGGATTACGAGCGAATGCCAATGGTTTACAAAGTATGTAGAACGAAATAAATTTATTTATGAGAGAATTCATTTCTTTTCTCGTAGACATTTCTGGTGAACGCCTACGAGTTGAATCTAAGCGTACTGCTGAAGGACGCAATGCTGGTCCAGTACTAAAAAAAATGCTTGAACAGAATATTAGTCAATATCCTGGTTAGTTAATGCTATTTTTTGTTAATTTTAATAATTTTTTTAATGTTTCATATAGATATTCCATCGAATATCGATCTAAATCAAATAGAAGATCATTGGAGAAAATTTCATCAAATTAAGCCAAAAGCTCCAACCATTCTAACAAAACTTTTCGTGATATGAATGAAGTAATTTATTCGAAAATAAAGAATGCAATTTAATATTTTTATAATTGAGTTATCTAAATTTGAACAACGCATGAAATATTTCAATGAGTACCGCCGTTTATCTCAATGGTTGGTCGCATATCGTGATTCAATATCAATACTTGATTCATCATCCATCGATCCATTGAAACCATCTAAAGATTGACTGATTGATTTATATTTATTTGATCCAATTGTACAAGAAAAAATCATTGAATTACTTAAATATCAATATCATCTTCGTGAAGTTCAACAGCTAACAGATTGGACAATACCAAATTTTCCGATATCTGCAGAAATGCTTGCTTGAACAGGTGTTAAACAAGGACCGAATTATAAAACAATTATGAATGAACTTCAACAAGCATGGGAAAATTCACATTTCAAAGCTACGAAAAATGAATTAATTACTGAAATCTTGCCAAAAGCATTAAAAAACGTCAGCACAATTGATCCTTCAACGATAACTCATCAAAAGACAATTGTCAATCCACCTGCATTTACACTTTGGAAAAGACGTAAGCATAAAGATGTACCTTCGGATAATTCCAAAAGAACTTCTAGAACTTCCTGATACGGAATATTTTTTTTTGTTTTATTTTTGTTATAAACCATAAAATTGATAAAAAAAAGCACTTGTTTTATGTTCAACGTGAAATAACTATTCAATGAAAATTGATCTTTGTGATATTGGAGGGTGAAAATTAGTTCAGATGTCATAACAGTTTACTTCACCATGTCGACTAATAATTATTGTTTATTTCTCTCAACTGCAAAATTGACTACTAGTAAAATATGTTTATTTAGTAATCTCAATGGTTACAAAAGAAATCTTTTGAATACACTGATGTTTCTTCGATAATTAAGTATTTCATTTGAGCACAGTTGAATCGTGTTGCATTCATTCTCAAGTCTTATATTACGATTCTTAATTTATCGTAATCGACTATCAATATATCATCAGACGACGCAGATAGATTTCAAACTAAGAGAAATAAGATAAGGAGATTCAACAACTGAATATAGTTGATTATCATCAACATCTAATTTTCTGATATCTGTGGTCATGGTTCAAAATTCATAACAGACAATTTTTAAGTACAGGAAAAAACTGAGCAATTTGACGGGAAAATTTATGTTTGAATGGAACAACAGCTCACACCAATAAGTTTGTAACATGACTAGTAAAGAATACACCTTAGTAAAAGTTCGTTGATTATCAGCAATCGATAAATAATGAACTAATTAGATGATTCAATTGAAGTCTGGTACTAATATGACAAATGTAGTTCGGTCATGGTTACTAATATTCAAAGATAATTTTTCAAAATTTTACATACAATGAAGAAGGAGTAAAACTTAAATTAAATATTCATTGGTCAAGCATCGACAAGTTAATGAGAAACATTTCAAATTCGGTAAATTATCCTAGAAAATAAAAATCAACATTGTTTAATGGACTATTATCGATCATACAACAAGAAAAGCTATGATGAATAATGAGTGTGAAATCGGTTCTTCTCTGTATTCACACCGACACCAAACAATGTATAGTAGTATTGATTTAACTTAAACTAACAAGCAAATAGTTGATAAACTCACCATATTTAAAACAACTGGTGAATCATAATCATCAATAATCATAATAACGCATAACTTTAGAAAGTTCAAGAGGAACAAATAGTCAAATATGAAATACGAAGTGTTAAAGGTGAAAGTAACTCACAAATAGACAAATGCTTTAAACTTTCGAAGAATTTTAAAATATAATAAAGCACACCCGTTGGATATTGTCCCTAATTGAAAATCAATATGATTTTGACATGTAAAAATAAGATCTATTATTTGTTGTAGGAAAATATGTTGAAATGGGGATTCATCTAAATCAAAATAAAACAACTAAATATTGTTTGATTTATACAGCGTTTTGTAAGCTCTCATATGAACAGAACGTAAATGGTAATCAGTGTTATGTCGCAGAACGAAAAAAGTGAACTTCGTGGGACCCGAACCCACATCTTTCGCTCTCCGAGCAGATGTCCTAACCAGTTAGGCTAGAAGAACATCTTCCTTGTCTGTCAACGTTAGTATGTTACATCACTAACGCTAACATGTTTCTTGATGAATCTGCTCAGATTGACACCGAAGCTTTTACCTATAGAATAACAACAAACGATTTTGCCCTTCAATCTGAAGAGTTTAAGTTCAGCTAGATTAGGATAATTGGCAACACAAAGAAAATGTTTCATAGATTCTGATTCAATGATAAGAGATTTAATATTATGATCAATTTTAGGGAATATATTAATGCAGAATTCATCAAGTATAGAATCAATAATCGATACAATAACATCACTTGAGATTACTGATCAAAAAATTCATATGCATTAATAGAGCTTTGATACTATTGAACTTTGACATGTCTAGTATTTACTGGGTTTTCGATATTGACCAATTGATCTATTTAAACGAAACTTTTCCGGTTACAATGATAAGAAAAGAAACAAAAATCAATAAATCGGACATATTGTTAGGAGAAAGTCATTTCATTCTCAATTCAAGAAAATACTTATATTATATTTAGAACTATTCATTTTTCGAGGAATCAGAGACAGAATCAAGTGATTGATCCATAGTCTTCGTCAGAATCATATTGATATCTGTGTATGCTAATAGAATTCTCTTAAAAATAAATTTTTGAATATCTAATGTTGAATATTATGTATGATGTACATCCGTTGCAAACACGAACATTTCTTTAATTTCGAACCCAAAAACTAATCTTTTAATATTTCGGTTGACGTTACAGATATATCTACCAACCATCGGTAGAATAGTACACCATCTTTGAATGGTTAATCATCTGTGAAGAACAACGAAAAGTGACAAGATGAATCAGCGGACGTGATACATATATGTGATGATAGAACGAAAGAAATGAACCCAAGTGAATGAATAGTCAGCTTTTCTTCTTGGTCATTGTTTGAATCATCGTTTTAACTAAAGTTAAATTGTTGTATCATTTCATTTCCAAATCATTGTCGATATACATCTTTACATTCGATTTTAAAGTAAGAGTCTAAACTATTTTTCTAAATCTAGTCAGCTAATTTCATTTAAACATTTTTCTGGTAGTGGGAACAATTAGGGCCAAGAGCAAATTTTGATTATTTTATATCAGGCTGAAAGAATTTAGAAAAAAATATCTTTTTAAGTCAGAAAATTATCGATGAAATGCAAAAGTATTTAATACCTCAAAAATGAAGTAACATATATCAATTTTATTTGTGTCAATTTCCACATCACTGTATTGCCAATCTATGTATCACATTTTTCAGTGTTTTCAAATCATTGTTAATCAAGCTTTCATAAATTTCCTTCCTTTTATGATTCTGCAGGTTAGAGGAGTCAAAAACCTTTTCTTGTTCCCAAATTTTTAAACTATTTTCACTAGATTTATTTTTAAGATTAAGAGATATACATATTTTTATTAAATACTAAAAAGAATAGCTTTAACTATACATCCATATTGCATTCACTGCTCAGCAATGAAACAAATGAAAAGAGCAATTTCATCTTCCTACTCAGGATATCTGGTATATCCAGCAACAGTATAAAATATATAAATAAAAATAAAGTGCTGATTCTTCGCAACGTCATCTTTCTTTTTCATATATACGATTGCTTTTATAGAATGCCACGTCGTCGTTCTCATCAACTATCTAAAACCAAATTCGACCACCACGAAGGCCAACTACAGCAACCATTGGAACCAGCACTGATGAAATGTAAGATTGAAAGCAAAAGATAATGTTATTAATTCGAATATTCCGAGAATAATGAGAAAAATACAACTGCGATTCCATTCATAAAATTGAAAAATACTTGTTCAATCTTATTAATACGTCTTCTATTAAATGTAACTGAATATTTTATAAAAATCGACATAACTCATGCATCGTAATCACAATAATTGACCCATTAAAATACAAATATAGGCAGTAGTGAAATCCTAACATTTGTTAAATTTATAGTGAAAAAATCGTTTTATTTAATTTTGTGAAAGCTTTGGAGTCAATTGGAAATAATTGTTTTATTAAAAATATAACAATTGTTGTAATAAAATGTAAATATTTCATGGATTAAACGTCGAATTATTGTTTTATAAAAACACAAATACTTGTTTTCCTAAGATGCTAATAATTGTTTCACTTAAATCAACGGAAATGTTAAATTCAAGGTCACATAAGTATTCCGGAATAGATTCAATAATTCTTGACGTATCATCTACATAAGTCTTTAATAAAAATACAGAAAATTTACTTAATTATTGTAATAATTTTTGTTTTAGTCCTACATGTAAATCAATTAACAATTACTTTCTGGTTACTGCGTTCATCTGTATAATAGTTTGTGTTGGCTACCATATTTCATTTTTACCTGACTCGGAATATTGGTATGAGAAAACAACCGATGGGAAGATTCCAGTGTACATAATGGCTGGATTGGGAAGACCGCTTATTAGTGCTCTTGGATTTGGTAAGCCGTATAGTCCCTTAGTTATAACAACGGTCGGGTTAATATTTAATGGCATTTTCTCATGGTTTTTTCCGGGACTATTCCCCAGGTCGAACATTCCGGTCCCCGGATCCCGTAGGATACTCCAGGGAATATGCGGGAAAGTCGTCATATCCTGCAGGAAAACATGGGAAATCGTTGGAACATGGAAGCAGTATTCCGGTCAAAAATACGGCCGGACTTTTCCGGCGAATTCCTGCCAAGTTCCGGTGCTTTACGGTAGGAATTGATCGGAAATCACCGGAGAAATTTCCAACCGGAATACTGCTTCCACAAAATCAACGGAACTACTCGGAACCGGCCGTTTCCAGGTCGGACTGTTCGACCTGGGATCGACTGGCTCGACAAGTCGTCTTCTCTGGTGGTGGTTTTGGCATTGTTTCTTGAATATTTTTGGAAATTGTGGCACCAGAACCAACCTGTAAATAATGATTATGTTTAGACTTTAGTTTTTAGTTTTTTTTAAATTTTTTTGTTCCATTTGTTTCATTTGTTATTTCCGTTAGTAGCGTTCTATTAAAAGTATTTTCTATTCATATTTTTTTTTCTCTCAGATATTAAGCTTATTGTTATTTGAGTTTTGATAAA